GTCTGTGCTTGATAGGTGTATTTTCACTAATTTTCGGTGTACTTCTATTTTCGGTACTTTCAGTGCGTCTGCTTCATAGCTAAATTTTTCAGTCACCGAACAAACACTAATACACACAATCCAATAGGGAACTGCTTCTCTGCACCTAGATTTCCTGTTCACCTAACCTGGCTCTTTGCCCCCATACCGAAAACATCCGGCACGTACATTTTCTGAATTTAGTTTAGTCGAAGTACCAGCAACACTGGTGCTGCCGGCCTGCTGCTCAACCCAAGACCCATGCATGGCCGGGGGAGGTAGGCCCAACTCATTAGCAATCTGCTCCAGCTTCCCGCTCTATTAACCGTCATGTCCTTCCTTTGGTTCTGTCTTCCCATTACGTTCTCTGCTGGACTTGAACCCTGCAACCAACAAAGTTTACAGGTACAAAAACACGCCTTCAGTTCAGGCATACGAGCCCGTTGGCAATAGACAACACTGCCGGTATAATTATGTCACTTCTCAGCGGTTGACGTCACAGTATAAGAATTAGCAGAGAAGTAGTGTTCTCTGTCCACCCGGGAACGGGTACGAGGGAGCACGATGTGGGATAAAAGGAGGTGACGAGTGCAGGGTCGGCCTCTTTTGTCTTTGTGGGTAGAGTTGAGTGAGAGGCAATAGACGACACTATCAGGTGCAATTGTACCTAACAGCCAAACTAGCTGGTGCGGATGCTGAAAACTCAGTCGATCTATCTGAGTCTCGTGCGAGCCGTGAACCTTTCAACTGGGTTCAGGTGGTTCAATGACTCCCTGGCCTTGACCTGGATCGACCAGGTAGTAGTCCTTTCCCAAAGATTCCACAATATTTCGCAACTTGTGCTTTTCACAATCATGCCAAAACAAGCGAAAGTTGCTGAAATCGCAGCCATGCCATGTGAGTTGCGATATTAGCAACGGTGGAGTTTTTTTCTGAAAATATGGAAAAAATCCCAACCGTTGCTAGTATCGCAAATCAAAATGAGCGCGTTCTTGTGCCCAATAATAATATTAATAATAATAATAGTACAGGTCGCATGTCTCCCAAATAATGGGTTCCACGCATGTGGTTTCATCATGAAATAGATTGCAGCAGGAAGAATAGCATACGAAAAAACCATATACAGGTTCGAGCACATGACAAGTACATGCCATTTTTTTACACCGATGTACATTTTGTCAATGAAGTCCAGCCATAGCTTTTGTCCCGTGCAGTGTTGAGGCAATCCTCGAGCGTGTGTCCGAGAGGGGAGATGTCGGATTTCACCACATCAATCCACCGAAGCCTCGGTCGTCCTCGTGGACGCTTGATCTTTGACGTGTCGATGGCCATGGTTAGCGCGCCATAGGAAGCCGTGCCCGGACCTTCCCGAACAGCATGGCCGAACCATAGGAGACGTCTTCTCTTGCAGACCCTGCTGATTGGTTGCTGTTTTGATTTTTCATACAGGATTTGGTTGGATATGCAGTGCGAGTAGTGGACTCCGAAGATATAACGGAGCTTTCTTCTCTGCCATACATCTAGCTGTTCATTCTGTCGCTTCGTGAGGGTCCACAGGCCGCAGTTATACAGCAGCACTGGAACAATGAGAACCGAAAACATGCAAAGCCGTGAGTCCAGGCAATGCCGCTTCCATGCTATCGAGCCGAATGCTCGGTTCGCTGCACCGATCCTGGCTGCCACATCCTCCGTGGAGTCCAGCAAGGAACCAAGGAGCTTGACCGTTTTCCACGATGCATCAGTGCGGGAAGCAGTTAAATATACGGCCCCCAAAAACAACCAAAAAAGGAGCAGAAAAGACAACACTGTGGCGCTGCACAACTGCCTGAGTAAAGTCCTGCGTACAGCACTGTACAGTCAAACCTGGTGTAAGCGACCTCTGTGTTTAGCGACCACCAGCTCTTAACGACCGTTTTTCCCGTGCATGGACAGTTCTACACAGATACTGTGGGACCTGGTTCAAAAGACCACCAGGGGAGTGGAAGGACCTTTGCAAGGACGTCTGCAAGTCCAATAGTGGCGTCTACGACTAAAACCAAAATAATAATATTGCTCCGAAATATCAAAGTACTGCTTTTCATAACTGCTGCGGTAATAATTATTATTAACGTAGTGCGTGGATTTGCATCCACCTGCCACCATTTTACTGGATTATTCTGAAAACGGAGTAAACAATGACCTTTATAATATCAAAAAGTGTTCTTTCTAGACCAAAGAGTGGTATATTTGATAACATTTAATAACGATAGAAATTTTTTACGATACTTCTCCAGACGTTTCGTTGTTCTGAACAACATCGTCAGTGGATAAAGAATTCTTTATCCACTGACGATGTTGTTCAGAACAACGAAACGTCTGGAGAAGTATCGTAAAAAATTCTATCGTTATTAAATGCTATCAAATATACCACTCTTTGGTCTAGAAAGAACACTTTTTGATATTACAATGAGAGTGAATAATCAACGGCTTGTCCACCAACTCTTAATGACCATTATCCTGTGACTGCGTCCTCTGTTCAATCTGAGCAATGCTGTCATCTGCCCCTTAGCAGGTACGTCTTGTATTGTATTTATATTTCTCTCTCTCTCTCCCTCCCTCCCTCCCTCCCTCCCTCCCTCCCTCCCTCCCTCCCTCCCTCCCTCCCTCCCTCCCTCCCTCCCTCCCTCCCTCCCTCCCTCCCTCCCTCCCTCCCTCCCTCCCTCCCTCCCTCCCTCCCTCCCTCCCTCCCACGGTGGTCTTTAGTTACAGGTTTTACTGTAGTACCAGGCTGGTCGCTAGTCACGGTGGTCTTTAGTTACAGGTTTTACTGTAGTACCAGGCTGGTCGCTAGTCACGGTGGTCTTTAGTTACAGGTTTTACTGTAGTACCAGGCTGGTCGCTAGTCACGGTGGTCTTTAGTTACAGGTTTTACCGTAGTACCAGGCTGGTCGCTAGTCACGGTGGTCTTTAGTGACAGGTTTTACTGTAGTACCAGGCTGGTCGCTAGTCACGGTGGTCTTTAGTTACAGGTTTTACTGTAGTACCAGGCTGGTCGCTAGTCACGGTGGTCTTTAGTTACAGGTATTACTGTAGTACCAGGCTGGTCGCTAGTCACGGTGGTCTTTAGTTACAGGTTTTACTGTAGTACCAGGCTGGTCGCTAGTCACGGTGGTCTTTAGTTACAGGTTTTACTGTAGTACCAGGCTGGTCGCTAGTCACGGTGGTCTTTAGTTACAGGTTTTACTGTAGTACCAGGCTGGTCGCTAGTCACGGTGGTCTTTAGTTACAGGTTTTACTGTAGTACCAGGCTGGTCGCTAGTCACGGTGGTCTTTAGTTACAGGTTTTACTGTAGTACCAGGCTGGTCGCTAGTCACGGTGGTCTTTAGTTACAGGTTTTACTGTAGTACCAGGCTGGTCGCTAGTCACGGTGGTCTTTAGTTACAGGTTTTACTGTAGTACCAGGCTGGTCGCTAGTCACGGTGGTCTTTAGTTACAGGTTTTACTGTAGTACCAGGCTGGTCGCTAGTCACGGTGGTCTTTAGTTACAGGTTTTACCGTAGTACCAGGCTGGTCGTTAGTCACGGTGGTCTTTAGTGACAGGTTTTACTGTAGTACCAGGCTGGTCGCTAGTCACGGTGGTCTTTAGTTACAGGTTTTACTGTAGTACCAGGCTGGTCGCTAGTCACGGTGGTCTTTAGTTACAGGTTTTACTGTAGTACCAGGCTGGTCGCTAGTCACGGTGGTCTTTAGTTACAGGTATTACTGTAGTACCAGGCTGGTCGCTAGTCACGGTGGTCTTTAGTTACAGGTTTTACTGTAGTACCAGGCTGGTCGCTAGTCACGGTGGTCTTTAGTTACAGGTTTTACTGTAGTACCAGGCTGGTCGCTAGTCACGGTGGTCTTTAGTTACAGGTTTTACTGTAGTACCAGGCTGGTCGCTAGTCACGGTGGTCTTTAGTTACAGGTTTTACTGTAGTACCAGGCTGGTCGCTAGTCACGGTGGTCTTTAGTTACAGGTTTTACTGTAGTACCAGGCTGGTCGCTAGTCACGGTGGTCTTTAGTTACAGGTTTTACTGTAGTACCAGGCTGGTCGCTAGTCACGGTGGTCTTTAGTTACAGGTTTTACTGTAGTACCAGGCTGGTCGCTAGTCACGGTGGTCTTTAGTTACAGGTTTTACTGTAGTACCAGGCTGGTCGCTAGTCACGGTGGTCTTTAGTTACAGGTTTTACCGTAGTACCAGGCTGGTCGTTAGTCACGGTGGTCTTTAGTGACAGGTTTTACTGTAGTACCAGGCTGGTCGCTAGTCACGGTGGTCTTTAGTTACAGGTTTTACTGTAGTACCAGGCTGGTCGCTAGTCACGGTGGTCTTTAGTTACAGGTTTTACTGTAGTACCAGGCTGGTCGCTAGTCACGGTGGTCTTTAGTTACAGGTTTTACTGTAGTACCAGGCTGGTCGCTAGTCACGGTGGTCTTTAGTTACAGGTTTTACTGTAGTACCAGGCTGGTCGCTAGTCACGGTGGTCTTTAGTTACAGGTTTTACTGTAGTACCAGGCTGGTCGCTAGTCACGGTGGTCTTTAGTTACAGGTTTTACTGTAGTACCAGGCTGGTCGCTAGTCACGGTGGTCTTTAGTTACAGGTTTTACTGTAGTACCAGGCTGGTCGCTAGTCACGGTGGTCTTTAGTTACAGGTTTTACTGTAGTACCAGGCTGGTCGCTAGTCACGGTGGTCTTTAGTTACAGGTTTTACTGTAGTACCAGGCTGGTCGCTAGTCACGGTGGTCTTTAGTTACAGG